AGGATCCAGGATCCGCTTTTTCCCCCTTGCTTGAAACTATACACCCACAATGATCATTACATATCATCATTAAACGTACCACTCCAGTGATATCAGTTCTGCTTGGTCCTCCAATGCCCCATCGCGAACGAGAAGAAACACGCGAGCGTTATTGTCGTGCATTGCTAACTTTATTCGTGCCATGGAGATCAATCCACGACCTTTGTGCGGGTGTGGGTGTGGGTGTGGATGGGTGTGGATGTGGGTGTGGGTGTGGGTGTGTAGGTGTGGGTGTGGGTGTGGGTGTGGATGGGTGTGGGTGTGGGTGTGGGTGTGGGTGTGGGTGTGGGTGTGGGTGCGGGTGTGGATGTAGGTGTGGGTGTTTGGGTGTAGGTGTGTGGGTGTATGGGTGTGGGTGTGGGTGTGGGCGTGAGTGTACATTTTTCTCACACCCACGCCGACACCCCACACCCACACCCACATCCACACGCACACCCCACCCACATCCAAACCCAAACCCACACCCACACCCGCACCCACACCCACACCCACACCCACACCCACACCAACACCCACACCCACACCCACACCCACATCCACCCACACCCACCCACACCCTTTATTTGAAACGAAAGGAAAAAATCCATCGTAATGAGTTTATTCAATTGAAAAGCGTTGAACACGGGCATTCCCTTCATCGACGACATAGAGATTGCCATGTCGATCGAAGGACAAACCCATGGGATTCCACAATTGATTAGCTCCTGCTCCGTAACCATTTCCACCCGCAATGACAGTGCCCTGATTTGCTCCTTTAGGCCAACGCATTACTCGCTGATTCAACGTGTCTGCCACATAGATGGTACCCAATGTATCGACGAATAGTCCTTGAGGATCATACAACTGTGTCAGAGCATTCCCTTGTCCTTGACCTCCAGCGACGACAATGCCTTCTTTTGCACCTTTATTCCATTTCATCACACGATGATTGCCGTAGTCTGACACATAGACAGCCTGTTGTTGATCGACAAACATGTATCTCGGCCAATAGAGTTGATTGAGACCAGCACCTCTGCCATTGCCACCAGCTACGATAGTTACATTATTGTCTCCCATTTGATATCGTCTTACTTCTTCTTTATGGTCGTCAACGATGTAGAGATATCTCTGATCATCCATGGCCAATCCCCAACAAACGGTGTTGTGGACAAGGATTTCTTCTTGAGTTATGCCTCTACGACAAGACCATCGTACGACTCGTCGATTCAATCGATCACAAATAATGATACTATCCGTCTCTTTGTCGAACAACACATCGCTTGGATTATTCAATCGATTTTCTTGGCCATTGCCACCACCTACCACTTGTCCATCCATATCACCCATCTTCCATTGGATGATACGATGATTAAACTTGTCAGCGATGACCACCGTTTGATCATCATCAATGAAGAGGCCTGTATGCCCGTTGAGCTGATTGGTAGCATTGCCTTTCCCATGGCCTCCAGCAACAGTTGTCCCATTCTGTGCCCATCGGGT